ATAGTAATTCATTAATTTACATGTAGCCAGGGGTCTGTGTTCTGTTTTTTATTTTTACTTTTCTAGATGCACTTACTTGAAGAAAGGGTCGGCATGACATCCTGACACTTTATTTCTATAGACTCTATTTTAGTTTGACATTTATTGTCTACCTTCTGTTGTTTTATTTGATAAGAATACTTATATTGTGCCTACAAGTTTAATACCTTTAAATAAAAGTTTTATTTTTATCATACTTTTTAATATGTTTCTTTGCGGCTTAACAAAATAGGAGTCTTTAAATGGTGCGGATATTGTGGGAAATGGGTGTGGTTACGGGGGGGGTGGCCACTAAAGGGTGTGGCCACTGAGGGGCGCTGTAAAGCTTTCTCGCACAGGGCGCCTAAAGGCCTAAGGCTGGCCCTGATACTGAGGCAGAGCCAGCTGTCAATTAGGTAGCGGGGTGGATCCTGACAATATTGTAAGGGATCTTTCCCAGCTGCAGTGCAGCTCTGCACTGTCAGCATATAGCGGGCAATAGCCCACTGTATGCTGAGTTTAATTTCCTAATTTATTGCCTTAAACTTAGTCCTTAAGCCTTAAATCTAGCTCCCTAACAAATGTCACTCAGTCTATGTATATCATAACCTCTTTACAATTGTTGACGCACAACTCCAGTTTACAAAAAGCCCCAAAAACGTTTTGCTGCTATATGCACCTGTTGTCTCCTTACTCTGTAGCTGCAGGCGCTGTGGAGCAATACATCTGCAAAATTCACAGCAGAAACACTAAAGCTATTTAAGCTGTTTTTTTAGCAGCTCAGCTCCACCTGCTCCTCTCTTCCAGCAGTGACTCAGCACCTCAAATACCCCTGCTCCTCTCTACAAGCAGTGACTTAACAGCTCAGCTCCCTTGTTCTTCTCTCCCCAGCAGTGACTCAGCACCTTAGATACCCCTGCTCCTCTTTCCAAGCAATGACTTAACAGATGAGATCATCCTGCTCCTCTCTCTCAGCAGTGTCTAAGCAGTTCAGCTCACCTTCCTCCCAGCAGTGACAGCTCAGCACTCTGAGCTCTCCTTCCCAGCAGTGATTCAGCAACCTTTCAATCTCTATTGTAAGCTTAATGCAAGAGCTCTGAGAGGAGGGAGCTGGTTGAGCCAGATTAGGGATCATATTCACTATACGTTTGTACATCATCCCTTATGCGGGCCTTGTGATATAAATGTACCATAGTGGTTCATCCCTGCTTTTAATCAATTGCTTTAGTAAATCAGCCTCAGTGTGATCTCAGCCTAGGCTAAGCTGGCTTAACATTGTAGTACTTTACTCAAAATAATATGAGATTTTAGCGTTTGTTCCACTTCAAATGACTAGCAATAAAGGAAGCCTCTAACTGCTATCAACATTTTCAGGTTGTGAAAAGTATTCTGACTCCTGCTGTAGTAATTACCTTTTTTTATTTTCCATATCAGTAGAAAAATATGTATGTATGGAGAGCGGTATACCATGAAGCACAATGTTGTTTTCCTGTTTTTGCGTCTGCAGAGCAATACGCCTTCCATATGTAGTTTGTTCCCTTGCAGTTGACAGGAACACAGCTCCTGCCACCCAGATGGCCACTGCCTATGTATTATACAGCCATTTTTTTTTACATAGCCAACCCTAATATTTCACTTTGTGATGGTAAGCAGATGGGACTTTTCAGCACCTTTGCTGATGGACAGTAAAAAAAGAAAAAGAGCAATATGGAACATTTAACTAATTGCTACTAATAGTAAAATGGAACGCATGCCAGGGATAAAATTATTTCTATTAGTGTTAGTCTGAGAGGAGACCTGATGATGAAGCCCTGATATCCAAAGATTATTTATGCTTCACATCTTTAGTGTACGCTAAGTGAACTTCGGAGACCTCAGATTACTTTGTGATGTAGTTTATGCAAAAGTCACTTATGTGCAAAAATGTTGAATATTTACATTCTGCTCCAGTTGTCTTTTCTCATATCTGTCTAATTAGGAAATTGCTGTGATATGTGTACTTCAATAATACTTACAGAATTCCGTACGGTGAAAGTAGATATTAGAAAGGAAAATGTCATGATGCATAGGGGTTGATTTCATGAACAATTTGAGGCTTTTTACTGTATAAAGTGAGTGTTAGGAAATATGGTGGAGCTCTGTTCACTTTGAATGCCCAATTATGCTTCAGCCCCAATACTTTGTACTTGAAAATATCTTCAGTGCTGATCTGAATTTGGTGCTGGGGTTTGTGCCTTGGCACAAAAAAATAATAATAATTAATAATAATACACAGACACTAAGTTACTCTGAGTTGAACCCAAATTAAAAGTGTTCTTAAAAAAGAACTATGAGGTAAGTGTTTTCCCCCCATAGTTCTCTTTAGGGTCACAGGAGGACATATACTAACCTCCTCCTGTGACCCAAAGCTCAGTATATAGCGGGCTAATTCCTGCGATATACTAAGAGCGCCGCAGCCGCTGTATACTGTCTGGATCCATCCAGCTGCATGAGTGACAGCTGGCTCTGCCAATCCAGAGGCGTAGCCAGCTGTGCCAGACTGTCAGTCACCGCTCCTCACAGGGTTTCCCCCTCCCCTCTCCGAACCTCCAGTGCTGAGTGGGGGAATGAACGGGGAAGGGGTGGGCACAGCTGGCTCTGCCTCTAGATAGTGCACTGAGGATACATCATCCTGGCTCCATTATCAGTATCTTACAGATGATGGCAGTGGGATGGGAAAGTACATTGTACCGCACGCTCTCCAAAGGCAGTGTACATACTAAAATAAAATTGCCATTGTTCAGAGAATTTATATGGCGTAAAAAGACACCAAGAATAAAATTAACCTACTTACAGAACCCTATAAGTGATGTGGGAATTTGCCGTACCCCATCTGCAGCTATATTTCTTGGCATCTCAGATGCAGCAAATGTGGGGGAAGTATGATGAGGGAGATCCAATGCAGAGGCTTTTACAGGTAGGAAAGTTAAAATACCCATTGATTTCACTCTTAGAGGCAGGGTGTTTTGAAAAAGGTACTAAGTTCCAGACTTGGTCATTATTATAAGACTATCTACAATATACTGCTATACGAGTTATATGCCCATATGGCACAATCCTCTTCTCCAAGAAGTTTATAAACTGAAGGGTTTCAATTATTTATATTTATATCTAGAAACAAAAAATGGTTTGTATCCAGGAGTCCTATTTTTATATTTATATCAGTTATATATAGGTAATGTGGTTAAGTCTTTAGCAGAGCTTCAATTCACTTCTCAGAGTAAAGCTTATTTTTCAATATCCACAACTGCATCATGCATTACAGGTACATAAGCGTATGTTAATATACAGTATTCAGATATTTCCCTTGTACATGTGATAGCTCAGGCAAGGGAAACTAGGCGTGGCTTGATAGCAAAGATATATTCTAAGCTTTTGTCATCTGTTAGATCTAAGGGGGGAACTAAGATGCCAAGAAGGATGGAGTCAAGATGTGGGTAAAATAGAAACAACTTCTTGAGCTCAAGCCTTGAAAATAAAACCTGATTGTTCCATCTCTACTACACATAGATTGACACAATTATTTATATTGCATCGGATGTATCGTACACCAAAACAACCTTATCTTTAACCCCTGAATGTGATAGGTGTGGACAACCAGATGATACCGTAATACATTTTATGTGGCACTGCCCCAAGATTCATAGATATTGGGAAGGTATAAATCAGACCATAAATAGAATGTACTCAGTAACACTGCCAGTGGATCCTCAATTTTTGTTATCTTGTCTGGGAACTCAATTACAGGCTTCCTAAAAACATGCTTTAATTAGGTTTTTGTTTATAGCTAGGACATTGATAGCACAGAAGTCGATATCACCTAATCCGCCTACACTTTCACAATGGAAACAAATGGTCAATATGACCCTCGAAAGAGAATGGTTAATATATCGGCACAGGGGGTGTCCTATAAAATTTGCCAAATTATGAAATAGATGGTTATTCTTTGTAGGATTGATGTGTTCTAATTTTTTGGAAAAAAATGTTTTTGAAAAATAGGGGGGGGGGGGGGGGGGGG